ATATATATACAAGTTGCACTGTACGTGTCGCTGCACTTCCATTCGCATAAACATATCTATACAGAGAGAGGAACAACTCTTGGGTCTGCGTGCACATGTTATATACACTCGTCTTGCGCTGCAGTCTCTTTCACCTGGTTCATTGTGCAACGCTTCAGTCTCTTTCTTCGATCTGTGTGGAGAGAGGTGGATGTGCAAAGGCACCTCTTCGTCAGGTCAACCTTCTTTGGTGGCGATGCAGAGGATAAGTGAGTTTGGGCACCTGCATCGTTGTCTTCAAACGATGGTCCTTGAACCGATGGACCGATGGATGAAGCAATTTTTGCGAACCTGTCCACACTGCTGCAGATGTTTGTTGACCCCCGTGAAAAATGCAAGCAGTCAGAGTGAGATATCAGCGATGATCACGAATTCATGCTGAGCAATGGGGTTTATGAGAGGTGGCCCCACAGCCTGAAAATCTAAGCAGGCATAGCAGGCCGGACCGCCCTGTTGTTCCTGCTGTTGTTAGGTCACACGGTCACAAAGTACAAGACCTGAAGCTGAGAGGCTACAATATTAAAGAGTCACTTTGGCTCTTGAGCCACAAACTCCAACCCCCCGCTGCCGCCTGATGAGCTCGGCAGACCAAATCCATCTCGTGCTTCCTTGTCAGGTGACGCAATGAAAGCGAAGGTTGAATTGAGTGAAAGATAGCGGGTAGGCATCGGTAGGTTCATGTAGGTGTCGCAGTTGCATAAACTGCAAATGTGTGTCTGGACTCTTGCTGGAAGTGCTCGCAAATTCGCAAATGGTCTGGGTATCTTCGGGCAAGGCTCTGCAAAAAGGTTGATACCACATCAGGTCCAAAAATGAAGGAGACACCGCGATCATTCTCAGCCCACCCAGCAATATCCTCGCGTCCAGCAGGGCGTCCCAAGAATATTCTAGTTCAATGACATTCAAATGTGCCAACATAACAAAATTTGCTGAGATAAAATCACTCTCCCATGCTCTGTGTGTTTTAGAAAGATAGTTCAAGCGAACCGATTCCCTCCTTATCCGGATCTGCCCACAAGAGGTCGCAAATCAAGCCAGTATCGGGCACATCAGTTGGCCTTCCAACCAGTTGCACCACATCTCTCTTGACTGCTTTCCGCTTGAATGCACTCAAGTCACTCGAGCCCACCTCACCAGCCTTTTGATTTGATCAGGAGATGTGATCTCTGGGGACAATCCACCTGCAGCCAGCTCCAAGCGCCCTCTCTCGTTGTGGAAGGGCAAAGAAGTAGAACCACTCTCTGACGAGCCACCGTGCATACAAATGATTTTCTCATCAATGATGGCACATACAGACATACAGTTGAAGACGTCGCAGAACTGCTTCCAAAGCCTCAGCTTTTGCCGCACAGCTTTTCCTCAGAACACAACCGTTCAAACTCGGCAGAATCTGCGTTTGAAGGGCTTGATGTTGTAGCGCCTTTTGCACTCATCGTAAAAGCCTGCATGAACGGAACGAACAGCGCGAGAAAATAACACTGCGCATGCTGAGCCTGCATCATGGACACGGTAGAACACAGCCAATGCACAGTGTCACGAAACCCTCAAGAGCATCACTTGACCAGCTTTACCAAGGCAATCCAAGTCGCCATAGATTCGCGTGATTGAAGCACACTCGTGGTTCCCTCGCAGCAAGAAGAAGTTCTCAGGAAACTTGACCTGGCGGTACGTGTGGGAAAAACGGGAAAGAGAGACCGTTCAATCCATTTCCATTATATATCAGCATTTTGCTTTCTTGCCTTGTAGGAAAAGAGCAGGATGATCGTCTCAAGGCTTTGTTTGCCTCGATCCACATAATCACCCAGGAAGAGGTAGTTGCTCTCCTGGCCAGATGTGTCCGCAAGGGCTTGACGTGCTTCTCTCTGTTGACCAGGAATTGCAAAAACGCATAGGCATAGAGGCAACTCTGCCAAGGTGCAGGTGGGAAGCCGCCATATTCGAACAGGCGAAGCAGGTCATGGTATTGGCCATGCACATCCCCACCTCAAGAGAGTCAGCAAATTCCATCCTCCTTGTGGTCAACATCTTGCCTTGGCATGCCTTGGGCTCCCTTCTTTAAGCCGCTACCCCCCCGGTATCAAGCAGGTATCCAAACGATCCGATCGCTTCGCAGGTCGATCTGGAAACCCGTTTTGGCCGTACCAAGCTGCAAATCTTCAGGGGAGCTTCCAACTCAAGCAATGCCTCAGGCCGCAAAGAAGGGCACGTGGCAATGGCACACTGCGTGTGCCTTGTGTGCCTTTGCAAGAGTAAGACCTGATGCGTGATGAGGGCCAGAGATGTGGGTGAGTTAAGAAATAGCGAGAGGTGATGAAACGATAATATGAGCAATAATAGCAATGCGGCAACAATAAGAGGAGGGTATTCTTTTTTGTGTACATGCTATCTTCACCCACCTGCAAGAATGGGTTTCAACGTGGACCTCCAGCTTCGAGGCCACAAAGAAGGATTGCTACTGCTGAAGTCGATGATCAAAGGGAAAACTCATTCAACATGTGCATATATATATATATATCAAATAGTTATATATATATATACATATGAATCTGACGACGCAAACGCTAAACTAAACAGAATGCGTGTGGCTCGGCCCATACTTTGAAGACGGTCAATGACAGCTTCTGCATGGTTCTGAACTATTTTCACAAGCCAGGGATGGTCCGCAAACTACACATGTGTCTGAAACTATATGGTTGGGAAACTGCCTATGTGTTGGAAACAGTTTCGGACACTAATTAATTATGTGTTTTCCTGAAATTATGAAACCATGTATTGAAAGCTCTATGATTTTCGGAGCCACCTAACCCCCTGTCCAAGCCAGCAAGTTACATACCGTTGCAATTGTGGTTTTTCAAAGGCCTGTAGTAGTAGCTTCAGAAGGTGGTGTCTGAAGCGTGTTTTTTGAAACCCACATAGTACTGAAACGTGGTTCTTGAAACGTAGTTTCTGAAAGGGAGTTTAATGCTTTGAGGACCGACAGTGCACTTTAAGCATGGATCAGCAAAAATACCATGCTGGAGAGGATTTGTCCCGTTCGTTTTTTCCAAGATTTCATCGAGAAACAACTGCAATAGAACACTGCACACGCCTCCAAAAGATACAAGTTGTTTGAGATGCTGGGCACCCCACACACTTCCAGTCTCAGTGCATGGTCAGTATCGCTTCTGCCCAATGTTGGGCAGGATTTACTATAAAGAGACTAATTTAGCAGCAAGCCACGATGCAATGGCAGGGCTCAACCCTGAATATCCAAAGGAAGAAGGACATTCAAAAACAACCTGCTTCTCACAGGCCTGGGTCTAGCTTCAAATCAACCAAGATACACTTTGCTCCAAGAAGACTGTGCGGGCAGCACTGCACAAGCCTTTGACCTGTGCCTCTGGGATGTTCACAAGTTTTCCAGGCTTTCCTGCGGCAACAGGCTGCCTTTCTTCCATCCACCAGTGCAGTGTGGCACCACTTCCAACTCAGATCCAGCATAAAACCACATGTCTTGCAAACTGCAAACGGCCTCCCTTCACTTCCAAGCACTTGTCCACAATGTCCTGGGATGCGCTTGGCTTATACAGACACAACACAAAACAGTTGACAATATGTTGTGCTTGCTATATTTCTGTGGACAGTGTGTTTAACTTGGTGCGGGTTAAGTCTACAGCATCACACCTGTCGGAAAAGCATTGAACACAAAGCAAAGACAAACCTATCAAGCTCGAGCTATATAATTACACCGCCGGGGAAGAGGATGGCACAATTTTTTCAATGACCAGTGGTTAACGGCCTAAAGGTAGATTGCGCCAGGTGTGCTCCACCTGAACGCCAAAATAACCTATTGATTGCGCAATTCAGCCTTTTCTGGCCGCAAATGTAGCGAGAGCGGCTTGCAAGAAACGCTGCCAAAAAAGGGTTATAGAAGGCGCAAAGCCATACATACATGTCAGAATTGGGCCAGGAATACAGTATCCTGAAAGTCAAGAATGGCAAAGAACCTTTTCTTCTCAAGCCACGGGAAACAGTGAATGTATACAGTATATACAGCAAGATATTGCAAAACTCTGCAAAGTGAGGAAGCTGCTGGCGCAAATGCAACTGCCATGTGCCCCATTGCGCCATCTGTAAATATGCCACTTTGACATCGCTAAGCGTACTGGTGAACGCCCTAAAAACATCTCTTTTTAAGCACATAGATGGCGCAATCGGAGGCAGTGTGGTAAAATAAAGATGGCTCAAAAAGAAAAATTTTGCCATCTACTCCCACCCCGGAGTAAGTCAACCTGAGCCTGTGGGTGATAACTGGTGTTCATCTGCTACCATTAGCTGTTCAAGCCTTCTGCTGCTTGTTGGGATGTGCTGTGAGTCTTGGCAACCTGCTACAGCCATGCAATCAGCCTGCAGTGAACAAGCCCTTTAATGCTGACAAGTCACATCAACCTCGAGGGCTCCTTCTGCCTTCTTCATAGCACTGGGAACTGCTAGAGTGCCACAGCTTTCTCTGTGCTTGGCTACACCCAGCTTGGGCCAGACTGCGCGCTGGCCGTGACGAAGTTTGCAATCCGCATGATCCACCAGCTCCGCGGAAAACACGCAAAACCATGCAGCTTCGCAGGCATACAAAAACATGCAAGTATTGTTTATATATAATGCTGTGTTTTGCATGGGACGGCCCCCCAATTACAAGAACAAGACTCACATCCTGTGCTGAAACAGTTTGCTTCTTCTCTGCAGGATCGACCAAGGTCTGGGGTCTGGCACACGGCACACTGAGCCACCTGCGCAAGAGATCGTCAACCAGCATGTCGGCATCACATGCTACTAGTAGCAAGAAGCTACCGAAGCAGTACACCTCGTCTTGAGGCGCTGTCGGCCGATCAAAGCTGTCAAGCGGCATATCTTCCTGGCAAGGACGTGCAGCAAATCTCCATGCAACTCGGAGTCAGCAATGCAGAAGTGTCAAACATTCCAAGAGAATGTCTGGGAGCGACACCTCTTCCATCGTCCATGGTGGTTCATCAACCTCAGTGTGGCTGTGGCGTCTGCAGCACAACTGCTGAAGTCCATTCACATGCTCATCAGATCAATAGCTCAAACATGAGCTCCCAGCATTCAGCGCCTTGCATGCTTCTGCTCTCGTTGCCCTGTCCTTCACATGCGTTCCGACAGAGTGAAATTTGACAGAAAATCACAGAAGTAATGATTCAGCTGGATTCCAACTTATATACTGTATACTGTATATTCAAAACTCAGTCAACCTCACTCATGCTGTGCATATCGCCACTTTCAAAGGTGAGCGATGCGCTTTGGCATGCTTCTGCCACGCGCACGGCCACACATCTCTGCACTGGTCACATCATGACTGGTCCAGCTTGATGACCCACAATGTACCAGTCGCCCCCTGAGGCAGGACAAGTACTGTGCGAAGCCTTTGCAAGTACCAGTGCCTCTCCAAAAAGCTTTCACGGAACGACCGCCGGGAACCAGTCACACCGACCGCGTCGGACGGGAACGTCGTCTCACGCCTCGACTCCGCGCAAAGGTGTTGGTCGCTTCATGGAGACCTCCATTGCTCGTCTCCTGGATGTCCGGCGCACGAGGGTCTCTGAAAAGGTGATTCGGTATGTTTGAATGAATGATATGTGTGTAAATGAATGAATGAATGAATGAATGAATGAATGAATGATACATATATTTATTTTATATTATGTGTGTGTGATTATATCTGTGATTCTATATGATGATATGATACTATGTCACAACCTCACATAGCTGTGAAACGTTGGATAACACCCGTTAGCAGAGTGCTCGGCCGATTGTCACAACCACGAGTACAGCTCGGCAGGTGTGGTGCGAAGAAGTACTTCATCACAAAGCACCACATCCAATGGCAGAGTTTGTGCTTTCGGGGGTGGCTTGGGAACAGAAATTGGATTGCAAACAAGAATCTTCCTTGCAAACGACAATTGCCATGTCCCCTGAGGTGACCAGCACTCGCTCATCTGTGATTTGCAGCGTTGGCAAGGTTGAGCTACTGAAAATTCGATTCCAGCCTGACGGCCAGTCAGTCTGCCGCAAGAATTCCAGAACTGTCAAGCTGCATGTCAGACTTTGTTTGATGTAAGTTAAGGGTGTGCCATAATGTAACGATATGTAACGATAATTGACGATAACTATAACATTACGATATCCGATAACCAACCAACTGAGGGTCAGACTTGTCACAATCTCAGGGCGACCTTGAACTCGTCGATTATGTGGATGTGTGCAACTGCACATCATCTTAAAGGATTCGTCCGCGTCTTGGAAGACCAAAAGCGGTCCCCACTTGGTGACCTCGCAAGCCCAAAGCTTGCTCATGGCATCCAAATCCTTGCTGTTGAAGGCTGCATAAAAGGCCTCCACTTCCGACACTCAGATCGCAAGTCCGGGGCATTCGATCCAATTGGACATGATCTGTTTCGCCGTCCGGCCTGGTTCGCCTGCAAAACAGCCTCCGCGGTCTTCTGTAGCTTTGTTGCCGGGCTCACCTGAAGTATAGGTGAGGGCGCGCGATCATTTTATATACATACATGAAAGCTTCGGGCCCAATCCCCTTACAGTGGTGAAGCGTAGTCGGCAAAGCGATTGGGTGAGGGTTCCATGGAGAAAGCCATCTTCGGTACGCCTCCGGCGGCCGTTGATGATAGCTGGTCCGGCGTGGCCTCTTTTCGATCCACGCTGACCGGCGATGGGGCTTTTTGGGTCACTCTGCTGCTTCCTTGGGAGATGGAAGCTTTGGTGGCGGATTGCGGTCTTATCCCCACCGGTTGCACTAAGGTGACTCTCTATGATTGGAAGGTGTCTTGCATGGACCCCCTCATTTTGTCGGCCACCGCTTCGAGTCAGGCCTATCCATGCTCCGCTATGCCTAGGACATTTGGCGAGAACATCATTGAGCTCGCTGCTGGCAGCGGAGCTATGGGATTGGGTGCTCTCTTCATGGGAGCACGGATTAGGGTTTGCATTGAAAGCTGCAACTATGCCGTGGAGCATTTGAAGCACAATGAACACGGCTTCATCATCCATGATGACATCGGCTCCTTGGCAGCGATCAGATCGGCTCATGAAGTGCTCAATGGCCTTCCTACGACAGGCTTCTTCGGATTCCCGTGTCAGCCCTACAGCATGCAGGGTCGTCAACTGGGTGAGCAAGATGTTCGATTTGACACATTGCTTGGAGGACTGAAGGCCACATGGTATCTTCAGTTGCAGTCGCTCATTGTGGAGTGCGTTCCTATGGCCTGCACTACAGTTGCAGTTCAGGAGGCACTAGAATTGGTCTGCGGGGCCATGGGTTGGGAGAAGATTGATTTGATGCTCGACCTAAAGCTGCAGTGGCCGATGCGCCGGGCACGCTGGTGGGGCATCCTTGCCCCACCTATCTGGCTTGCAGGACCTTTTCATGGTTGGGCTACAGATCCACGCTTCCCTACGACAGGAGCACTTCTCAAGAGTTGGCCTGCGTGGGCGATTGACGATGAAGATGACTTGTGCCTGACCCAAGATGAATACTTTATCTTCCAGGACGCCGCATATGGCACTGACCAACGCTGGTACGGGATGCAGCATCAACTTCCCACAATCCTGCATAGCTATGGATCGTGGTTTGGGCCATGCCCTTGCGGATGCCGACGACAAGCCATGTCCGCTGAGGCGTTGAAGCAAAAGGGTATTCGCGGTTGCTATGTGACTTCTTCATTGACAGGACAGCCTCGACTGCTCCACCCACATGAGCTTGCATTCATGCTCGGCATTGCAAGCTCCATGAAGTTCCATACCACTCCACGGGACACCCTGCCATTACTCGGCAATGTGGCATCGCCAATGCAGGCTGTGTGGGCCTATGCCATGCTTGTCAGATCGGTCAGCAGAGCCATTCCAGACATTTTCGCGATTGACCCAGCGCAGGTCCTTGACAGTTTCAAGCGTGAGCTCATTCGACAGTTCTATGGAGCCCATCATCTCGACGTACCACTCACAAGCCTTTGCATTGTGGCTGAGGATGGAGCTGAATTGACCCTGTTTGCAGCTGGGACTAATCTTGCAGCTGATCTTCTGCGTGCAGAGAAGCTTCAACTACACCCAGAAGCTAGCTGTGCCCTCTTTGAAGATGACCGTCAACTTTCCATGTTTGAGCGGTTTCCTGCGATTCCTAATGGGAGATGCTATCGCCTGCGAGTTGAAGGTCCTTACTCCAAAGTTTGCCATGACGAGATGATCGTCATCTCCCTCCAGCAAGGCCAAGAGCATTGGGTTGAGCTGCAACGTGCAGGCCAATTTCTTTTTCAAGCATTGGAATCCAAGCCATTCGAGACCACATACCTCTTTGTTGACAGCACGGGACGTCTCTTTTCACGTGATGCAAGAATCTGGCAGTCCCTTCGACTTCGCCCACTGGGGCCACACTCGTTCCCTACTTTGAGGACTACCACCACACTCGAGGCATGTGGCCACGATGGACTTCATTCCTTTGCTGCGCCCCCTTTACTGGGCTCCGCCAACGGTCCTGGATTTCCTGTCGCAGCTGCTGCGGTGCCTGGACTTGGCGCCCGCCTCATTTGGCAAGTCATGCAGTCTCTCACCCAGCACCTCAATGCTCAAAAAGGGATGGAACCGTTGCTTCTCTCACCTGAAGTTGCTGCGCAACTCCTTGACGTTTCCCAGGCTCCACATAGCCTTGGACTTGCACCTGGTATGGCATCTGGCATCCAGGAATGCTTCTGCATCTTTGCTGCAGAGGGGCATTGGGCTCTTCTATGGGGGCGCCGACATGGGCATGATCTGCATTGGACTTACCTTGACCCTCTCTCCGATGGACTTCGAACCTCAGCCTTGATTTTGGCTACCCGTATCACTGGACTTTTAGGTGGTCGGGTTGACTCTTTTCAGTACTCCACGCTGTACGTACAACGGGACTCATTTTCTTGTGGCACACTTGCACTTCTGCATATGGCTGCCGCTCTTGGACTTCCAGGGTTGCTCATGCCCAATGCGGTCAAGGCCCTGCACCTTTGGCTGCTTCGTCACTCGGGCTCTGAAACCTTTCGGGCCAAGGGACCTGCAGATGCCTCTGCCCTTCAGCAGTTGGCTGAGTTCCTGGTCAAGCATGGAGTTTTCCCTCAGGCGGCATCAGAACGTGCTCAGCTTGTGGCAAACAAAGTCGGCATGACTGCCATCCAACAAGCCTTGAACAGCCGCAATCCCTGGGCAGCCCTCAAAGACAAGGCATCACAGCCAGGCACCTCCATCCGCCTTGTTACTCATGAGGAGTTGGAAGCACAAATTGCGGCCCGTGCGAAATCCAAGCATGGAGCTCATGTTCTGAGGGCCAAGGACAAGAAGAGCCGGACGGTAGCACCTCGCATCTCTGCTGAGCAACTTGATGTCACTATGCTCCAACTTGACAAATCACATTTCAAGGATGAGGATGGTGACGACATCTCGCAGATTCAATTCAATGAAGTACGCTCCAATGGACGGGGCATTGCCATCTGCACTCAGGCAAACGCTCGGGCTTTCATTGCGGACCCTAAGAGCATCAGCACCGATGCATTGGCACTTCTCGTGCTTCCACCACTACCTTCCGAAGCTTTGGCCTCAGCCAAGATCATCTCTATGAGATTCCCTGCCGTTTATGGTGTGCATAAAGAGCCTATGCTGATCCAAAGCACTATGGTTTGCCTGGGAGACATCGACATTCATCGGCACTATGGAGCTTCAGACACCAAGCTGGCAGTGTTGGACACATCTGTTTTCAAGGTGGTCATCTATAGAGATGAGCTTGAATCAGCTTGGGATCTCTTCATTAAGCATCCAGTGCGACATCTCACTGAGCTACTGCCAGCTCTTCAACTTTGTCGCGGTCGCAAGTGCGGCACAGACTGCCCAAAGTTCCATCCGCCTCTCGATGAGGAGATTGACGGTGCCATCCAAGAAGTTTGGGCCAGAAAATTCCTTTCCGAGTCCGGAAAGATTGCGAATCCTACGGATGCATGCATCTACCAGCTCTATCTCAGAGTGGCAGCTCTTACTGCAAATCAGGTCCTTGAATCTTCGATAGCCGGGGTCTACATTGAGCCTCGCAAAGCAGATCTCTCCGGCACGGATCCAAAGTTTGCAGTGGTATGGCTTCCCAAGTCTGACAGGATTGTCGCCATTCGTGCGCTCAAGTCCTTTGATGGAGCTCAAGCACTGGTCAGGGTCAAAGACAGATATGGAATTCGAGTTCAAGCGGCACACGCTGCCGCGGCATCCAAAGAGCTTCGACCAGACATTCCTTTCGTCGATGTACGAGTCTCCAAAGTGTTCCGGCTTCACCCCATACCCCATGGAGTACAGAGTAACACACTCCTTAAACTCTTCAAGGATTGGGGATGGACTGCCAAACCTATGCAACCTACTAAGGGATCAGCTTCGGGCTCAGCATGGGAGGTTGGTGCTGACAAGCCACCACCAAAGCCGATCATGCCTGGATTTGGAGGAGATGTGCTCATCAGTGAAGTCCGAGATCGCACTACTTCCACAGCAGCGCCTCCATCGGTCATCTCATTGCGCCATCCTCGCAAGCTTGCGCCTGCGAAACAGTCTCCTGCAGATCCCTGGCTCCAGGCTTCCAATGATCCATGGAAGAGATGGTCTGCTCCTTCGTCCTCACATGTCACCCCGGGCGCCTCCAGCACCAAACATCTGCAAGAGATGGAGACTCGGCTTCAGGCCTCATTGAAGGATACTGTGCAAGCACACCTCGAAGAACACGCCCAAGATGCCACCATGGCTAGTGATACAACTCTCCTTGCGTTCCAGCAGGAAGCCGACATGCGATTTCGGAAACTTGAAGCTGGGGTATCCGAGCTCACCGCACAAGGCCAGCAATTCAGATCCTGGTTCAACGATGTCCACAAGGGGATGGAGAACATGGGCTCGCAAATCACCGGGCTTCAAAAGAGAACCGAGCACCTTGGCACGACACTTACGTCCTCGGTTGCCTCTTCAGTCAATGAAGCCTTTGATGCCCGCTTCAATCAGTTGGAGGCCATGCTTGCCAAACGAACTCGTCATGAGTGACTATGGCCACCCGGGCCTGGCGCACATGGCCAGGTGCCGGCCTTCTTGCTGACCTCTACGGTGTGGCCCTATTTGGTCCTTCTGCTGGCTCTTGGGTGTGGAGTTTTGCAGTGCTCTATGTGGCCACTTTTCTTGCTTTTCCTTCGCCTACCTTGGACAGTGGCGTCGGGCTTTGTTCCTTGGGGTGCCTACACGGCCATCACTTTTGCTTTGAACCTCTTTCATCGCTCCATGCCTCACAGTGGCATTGGCGCGATACTCTACAGAGGACCTAAGATGATCAGTTTCAGGCATACTAGTGCGCAGTCGTACACCACTGGTGGGGTTGCCTCGGGTGATCGACTGACATATGCCTCCACACGCAGACATACTTCTTCTTTTCAGCTTCTTCTACTTCTGGCCGCCATTCCACACATCGGTTGCG